GAGAAGCAGAGCACAGAGCAGTGGTCTGTGAGGACTATGAGGGCTGGGAAGTGAATATCATAGGAGCTGATGATGTGAAATCCCCCAAAACATCAATAAAAGTATTATATTTAAAGAAAAACATGGAGCAGTCCCAGAAACACACTTCCTAGGTGACAGTTGCAAGGAGGAGTGAAAAAGAAGGAGTTTATCAGAATGATATAATTTTCAGCTGAGTTTGGAGAACAGGGCAGTTCACTTTGCCATGGAACTTCTCCTGAAAGAGATAAAAGTGGGGTGAGGAAGGTATCCATTTCAGGTTAAACAAAAGATAGCTCCAGCTGAGAACAGGAATATTTTGAATACTATTATAACTTACTTATTAGTTATATTTTAAGTTTAGATAAGATATACCTTAATAATCAACATATTCAAAACTTTTGTTGTTATCAAAATCATCCTCGTCCCCATTATATCTAGCAAATATAAGCAAGTACCGGAATACTCTTTGTTAGTGTATGATTTCAGCTTTTCACTGTTTTTCGTAGGCTAACTCTATATTATCCTGAATGATGCATCTTCTGTGAAACTTGGTGGCTCTCCTTCCATCAATATATCCACTGAGGTATTGAGCAGTATCACAGTAACATACATGGAACCTGAGTTCTTTGTCAACATTTGTAGGATGTTATTCTACAATAGAAGTAGGTTAGCCTGGAATAAATGAGCTTAAAGGACTCAGTTTCAATCCTCAAGTAGCTCCATGGATTCAAAATATCCTCTTCTTCCACAAACTACGTCTGTTTTTATTCATTTTGATCGAAAAATATCCAGAGCCGTAACCTCAAGGAAATTGTGTAGAATCACAGTATGGACTTCTGGAATCTGACAATCCGAATTATTTTCTTATCACAAACTGTTATTGGAATTCAGGGTAATTTGTCTTTTATATTCTACTATCTACTCCTTTACTACAGAAAACACATATTAAAGCCCACAGATTTGATTCTCCTGCACATATTGGCAGCCAATGCCTTGATCATTCTTTCCTTTGGAGTGCCTCACACCATGTCAGCTTTTGGGTTGAAGCAGTTTTTTAAAGATTTTACTTGTATGTTCCTGATGTACATCCAAGGAATTAGCAGGAGTGTGTCCATTGGCACCACCTGTGTTTTGAGTGTCTACCAGGTCATGAAAATCAGTCCCAGGGAATTCTGTTGGGAGGATTATAAACACAGAGTTGCCAAGTACATTGGCTTCTCCATTTCCATCCTCTGGGTCTTCTTTATGTTGATAAATTTCATTTCCATTATGCACTCATTTATCAGTATGAACAGTAAAAATGTGACAAGAAAACGAGATTATGGATACTGCACTATTGTAATCCATGATGAAATCAGTGAGTTTCTCTATGCAGTATTGGTGGTGTGTCCTGAAGTCTTTCTTTCTGTGCTCATTGCCTGGTCCAGCATGTCTATGATTATCATCCTGTACAGACACAAGCAGAGGGTTCAACACATCCGCAGCACTCACGGTTCCAGCAGAACCTCCCCTGACTCCAGGGCCACCCAGAACATCCTGCTTCTAGTTTCCACCTTTCTGGCTTTTTATACTCTCTCCTCCATCTTAAGAGGCTGCATTGCTCTTTTTCATAATCACAATTGGTGGCTGGTGAACATCAACCCCATCATTTCTCTGTGTTTTCCATCATTTGGACACTTTGTTCTTTTGAGTCCTTTCTCAATTTTGTCCAGGTTACGTGATTTGAATCAAAAGTAAAATGTTTAATCTTATTTTATTGAAATGATATGTTTATTATGACCCTGAGTGTTTTACTTACTCCTTACTATTTAAAGCTCAAACAGAAAGTTAAGCAGGCAGCACCTTGTCTTTCTAAGATTAACACCATGAGTGTTGGGGTTTATCAGCTGGTGGAATTAGAAGTCTACAGGAGCTGATCATAGTGCACATGGCTCATTGTACACTTAAGTCTTTCTCCCGGAGTCTTCCTCTTGCCATTCTGCTGTGCAAAGGAACTAATAATTAAATCCCCTGCCTTGTTGGCTTTTATCCTATCAGGCCATCTTGAGTGCTTGCTTATTTCACTGAGACCTTGAATGTCCTTAATTCTAACTACAATGAAGACTGAAACCATAGCTAGCCGGGAACTTTTATTCCGTGAGACCCTGCTCCAGTAACCACTGCTTCCTCCTGCACACATTCCAGAAAACTCCACTGGGAATAACTTCCCAGAAATTCCTGTTGGTTTGCTTTGGACCTTTAGCAACAGTTCTCTCCAACATTTGCCAAGAAGAAAACCACATTTACTATCCACATAGCAAAACAAAACCACACCGTTCTTATGTATTGTACCTTGTACCAAGATCAATTTTAAATCAATAATTGTTTTGATGTTATCTTAAATTTTCTGTGCTAGTATTTCATTGAGAGCCATACATCTATACTCTACAGGGATATTGGTCTATATTTTTCTATTTTGATGTTTTTTTTTTCCTATTTTTTAACATCTGGGTATTTTTGGTTTTTAATCAAAAAGGAATGTAACTGAACTTTCAATTTTATTTTTTTCACTGCTTTGAGTATTAACCATATTGGTTTTAGAAAGCCCAGCAGAATTCTGCTGTGGATCCATCTGGACACAGTACTTTTTAGGTGAAACATTTTCAAAATTATTGCTTCAGACTTTGTAATAAGTTTTGTTGCCATAATTTTATCTATTTATGTTCAGGTTCGCGGTTTTGCTATATGCTTTGACTGTTTTTATGCCAATGTCAAGTTTCTGTTTTCATTATGCTTCTTTAGTGTACTTTGATGTCAAGCATAGTAATCTTCCAGGCTTGTTCTTAAACCTTAGGAATGCCTAAGGTATTTTAGTGTTTTGTGATGTCATACTAATACTAGTTATTTTTCTTTCTTTTTTTGTTTTTCTTCTTTTATTTGATTTTAAATGTTTTATTTAATTTTAAATTCAAAATGCAGTGTATTAAACACTGTTGTGGTATTTTCTGTTTTATTGTTATTATTTATTTCAATTTATTCAATTTCTTTCTTTCTTTCTTTCTTTCTTTCTTTCTTCCTTTCTTCCTTCCTTCCTTCCTTCCTTCCTTCCTTCCTTCCTTCCTTCCTTTCTTTCTTTCTTTCTTTCTTTCTTTCTTTCTTTCTTTCTTTCTT